AAATTTCTTAACCTGACAGTGACATTCCAGGCAGCTTCATAGTATAGGATACAGCAACAAAACAGGTAAAACTTTAAAGGAAGAAACGAAGCTAATATTATATATAGAAAATTTGATTCTTGCATTAAAGCAAGAATATCTCACAATTTGTATGAATTTGAAGTAATACTTGTACCAAATTTGTTCTATTCAAATACATCGGAAAAAGTTATAAGATGAAGTTTAAGAATATTAGTATTATAATGACAATATATCATCTGAGATACCAAAGAACAACTTTAATTGAGAGCAAGTGGGAAAATTATAGAAAACATTTTGGGAGAAAAAAAAACAGCAGAAGAAAACTAAATTGATAAGTTGATGGATTCACCATGTTCACTGATGAAGATATTGCGTATGTTGTAACGACAGATTTTCCTACATTAGTCTATATACCCAGTACAGTTCCAATACAAAAAATTTTAAATGATATTTTAATCGTGTATGTGTGTCTGGGGGTGGCAACTTGAGGGAATTTGTTCTCTTCTACTGTGTGGGTTTGGCGAATTGAAACCATATTGTCAGGCTTGGTAGCAAACACTTTCAGCTACTGAAACTTTGAACTTGACAGGATGATTCTAAAATTCATGACCAGGAGCCAATTAAAACAAGCTGAAACTTAAAGTAACTAAAAGTCATGCTTTAAAGAGTACATAACAATTACCCTATAGAAAACTTAAAGACACCTTTTTAAGCATGACCCAGAGATTATCCAAAACTGCAGACATAATTTAAGCTGATTATAATAAATATTACCAAGCCTGAACCCTGGAGACCTACTGGACATTGTGATTGTTTTTGCTAATGAATGTACTAAATATTTTTCTCATATAAAAAAATAGATAGCTTCTTATCTCACACTAAAACATTAATTTTAGCCAGATTAAAGATCAAGGGAGAAAAATTAGGATTTGTGGAACAAAGCACAAGAGGACTATGAGGTTTGAGTAGGGTGTTCTGGTTGCAAAAATCAGTAAATAATAAAGCATTCCCTGGAAAGAAAGGCATGTATAAACTTCACGATCAGTTTTACAATACTAAGAAAGGTGCTGCGAAAACAGTAAGAAGAGAAGCCACTGACAGGGAGAAAATATTGTCAGTAAATACAAGCGGCAAAGATTTTTCCCTCTAGAATCTCAGAGAACACAGACATCCGTCCACATCAATACAATGCAGATGGAATGCTGAAGCCTTTGCATTCCTTGGTTGTTATAAACAAACATCCCGTCTCTGAGAAAATGGATGAGCACGTTGGGATTCACTGATACACTGGAGCAGTACATGTGGAAATAAACTCATCTGTCTCACAAATAGAGAGAGAAAACTTAAAATTGAATGTTGAGTGGAAAAATATATTTATCTGGGTACTGGCTGTGTTATATTCTAATTGTATTTATGTCTCCCAAGCGTACAAGCCCTCTCTCAAAGGTATGTTCTTTCGTAACACATATTCATAGTGTCATGTGTGGAATTGCAAGCCTAGGAGAGCACTTGACAAAGCTGGTGTCCTCCACTGAGATGGCTTGTAATAGTGGTCTTTGGCAGGTTTTCGTTTAAAGATGTTTGTTTGCTGTTCATTGACAATGTATGTCTACTGTATGGTAAAATATTAATATATTTTCATCATGAAACTGCTACATGGCTATCAAAATATGAAAATGTTTCACGAAGATATACACTAGAGTGTTAAATATGTTAATATACAAAAGTGCCATTAAATATATTTTGGATTTCTTTTGTTTACATGTGGTAAATGTCTAAAAACATATATTGGAAGCGATGAGCTAACTTTAGTAGTTGAACATGCCAAACAGTGCTGCTCAATATGGCTTCTTTTGAGAGAGTTTGTCTATGTAGCCTCGAACCCACCATGTAAGCCCAGGTTGGCTTCAAACTCATAGCTCATTTACCTCGGCCTCTCAAGTGCTGGGATTACAGATGTGAGCCATTATACCTAACTTCTTATTTATTAAAAGAAAAAAAAAAGAAAATATTTGTAGCAAAAGTGAAAAATGCTAGCTATCTCAAATGGGAACATGAGATATTAGTTTCTGTATTCTTATATGTATCTAAAAATGCTTTAGAAGTATTAGTCTACTAAAAAGGAACAGAGAGTTAAATAGCCAACTCCCTTTCACTTGCCCTGGTTTCCCAGATACTTGAGTCATACATACAGAACTCTGCTCTGGAGGCTAACTCTGCAGTAGTTGGCAGACCATCCCTTGAACGCTCACTGTGAAGTAGTTGGTATAGCATCCCTGGAGGCTCACTCTTCAGTATTTGGAACAACATCCCTTGAGGCCCACTCTGAAGTAGTTGGTAGAACATCCCTTGAGACTCACTGCAGTATTTGAAACAGCATCCCTGGAGGCTCACTCTACAGGAGTTGGTACAGCATTTCTGGAAGCTCACGCTGAAGTAGTTGGTAGAGCATCCCTTGAAAGCTCACTCTGTAGTAGTTGGTAGGCTGTCCCTTGAAGATTCACTCTGCAGTAGTTGTCACAACATCCCTGGAGGCTTGCTCTTCAGTAGTTGGTGTAGCATCCCTGGAGGCTTGCTCTGCAGTAGTTGGTAGACTATCTCTTGAAGGCACACTGCAAGTTGTTGGTGCATCATTGCCTGGAGGCTCACTCTGCAGTAGTTGGTAGAGTATTGGGTTGTAAATGGGCAAGTAGGTGATTTGAGTGGGCTCTTTCTGTGACTTCTTTGGGGTAGATGATGCCTTCTGTGCTTCAAATGACATGCTTTTGTGCCTTGATAAATTTGGGTTATTAGCTATTATAAATAAAATATAAATATATTATCAGAGTCACTTTATTGATCATTTTCAGACTTTTGCCTACAATTCTGTTTCTAACTTAGACACATACTGCTCTTTGAACATTCAAAATATTAGGGTACAAGTGACATTTTCCTTTATGCCATGAGACAAATGACCTGATAAAGTCACTGATCTGTTAAGGCACTTTGCCCCATTTAGCCTTTGATGATGGATCTGGGGTACTAAAGACACTATAAAGATTTCTGAATCTTTGTAAGATAAAGTTTTGTTCAATGTTGTTTTAGTTTCTGTGATCAACTTCCAAAGAAATAAAATAGTGCTCACTGGCGTCAGTCGTGGAACCCCAGAAGACCCAGGTTGTGTCTCTGCCAGTTTCACCCAGGCAAGAGTTCCTGGGCATGCTGAGTAAAGCTTCCCTCTTTGAACTGTATGGTATATCTTCCTCTGGTTCTGTGACTTTATATGGTGTTGTTTATGAAATGTTCATCATTCCATGCCATGTACCTACACCGCAGAGTAAGTGGTGAGGTTAGCGGTAAGTGGCCTTTCTTATTTATAATTAGAGACCTATCTTGGGACAGGTGGAAGCTCAGGATGTTCCCTACAAAATGAGCAAGTCTTTGTTTGAAAGATTAACTCCATCCCCACTGCTCCAACTGGCAGAATCGCCTGAGCAGATCAACGCCTTAAGTGAGCTTTCCTACCGGGTCCCTGTTGCTGTTCATCCGCGGAAGCACAGGCTCATTCCCCATTGTGGGTTTGTTGACAGCTTTTCCGTGGAACAGTTTGAGGAGTAGAGAGCCCTGTTTCTGAGACAGAGAAGTGTTTTCACACCTGAAGTGTAATCTCACACCTTGTGTTTCTCAGCAGATAAGTGCATAAAATAACACATCAAACCAGAATAGGAAAAAAGATCAACGTACAAAGAAAACTGTGGGTTGTAATTTGCTTCCTACCTTACAGTGCTCTGAGAGGAAATTACAGAGATCTGGGTTTACACTTTCAAAGAGTTTGCCTGGTGACTTGATGGGAAAGTAAGTTGTACACGCTAAGCTCTCTGCCCGCACTGAACAGAAAGTACAGAATAATGGACCTTAGGCAACATCCTAACATTTTGATTTTTTTAATAGCAGCATGCATGTAAATTAGAAGCAAAAGTTTTAGTTAAAAGTCCAAAAGATCAGTGAAATGATTTTGATAACACGCATTTTCAAGGATAATTTTCTTTGTAATGATTCATTCAGGAATTTTAGCCAAAGTAGATGATGTTAGTAAAATTTGGATGCTTTCTTCTCCTTTTTGTAACTAAAAAGAAAGCCTTAGTCACTGCTTCGTAGTATTCTAGTGTAGAGGGTTTTAAAATGAGAGGTCTTGCTTGGTTTCATTGTTTGAAAACATGAGCTTGAAAGAGACAAAGGCTTTCTGTCTAGTCATGGATGTTCATTATAAAATTATTTGTTGAAAACCCAGCCCCAGTTAGGAACTAAGCCAGGCATGGAGGTACTGTGCTATGTGTAAGGTAAACCCTCTCTTTACCTCTGAGCGACTGGCAGTCTGTGGATGAGAAACCAGGCTGTGGTAGGGTCAACCTGGGTGCTGGCAGAAGTGGAGTCACATGGCTTCTAAAGAAAGTATTGGTATCAGTTAGGGAAGGTGGATTGTCACTGGATATCAGGGCATTGAGAGCCTGCCCAGGGGGTTGAGGGGGTGAAGCTTGTGGGCTGGGGTTCCAGCATGAGATGGTTCAGAGAATGTGTGGACTATGAGGAGAACAAGAAGAGAAAATACTCTTCAACCTAGACAGAAAACAGTGATTTGACTCTGAATGAAAATCCCACACGTGGAGAAAAAGAAGGCATATTCATTTTGCTACATAAAGGAAGTTCTGTCTGGATGACCACAGCCCATTGGACATATTTCTGTGTACCTCCATACATACTCTGTGCAAGCAGAGGCTCTAATGAACCTCATAATGTACCATACTGACTTGTGTGAAACAATAGACAGACATCTCAGGCAATACTCCTTCTCCTTAATAATCTATGCATGACGTGGTGGTCTAGACCTGAAGCTACCATGGCGAGGAGAAATTTGCAGCCCATGTGAAGATTACAGCTAAGCCAGTGCAGGAGAAAGCACAGACCTTGTCTCACCCTCCTCCTGTTTGTTTTCACTGTAGATACGTACGGAAAACTCTTCCTCCTCAACTGCGTGGGTCAAGAGATGTCCCGATGCAAGACATCCATTCGACGCGGCCAACCCAACCCTGTCTACAAAGAGACCTTTGTCTTCCAGGTGGCCCTCTTCCAGCTCTCTGATGTTACCTTGATGATTGCCATTTACAGCAGGCGCACTATGAAGCGGAAAGAGATGATTGGCTGGCTTGCGCTGGGCCAGAACAGCAGTGGGGAAGAGGAGCAGGAGCACTGGGAGGAAATGAAGGAAAGCAAAGGCCAGCAGATATGCAGGTGGCATACACTGCTGGAATCCTAGGCTTACCAAGGGGCTTTTGTGTGGTTTATCAGCCTTGATCATCTGACACCAAGTCAGAGCATTGTGTATGTGTGTGTGTGTGGGGGGGGGTGTTTCAAATTGAGAATTTTACTAATCTTAGGGCATTCTGTGGTTTAGAACTTCATCAAAGGTTTGATTTTCATTTAAATGTTGTAATGAAGGGAAAGCTACTTGCAGGGCCAAGTGCACAGGTTGGGAAACAGTTACTCTAGTTGAGACCACTGGTGATGTCATAATTTGTGCTAATGGATGGTTGTGTTTTGGTTCACACTATGGGATGCAGCTTCTCTTGCTTTCTCTTTTTGGTTGGAGAATAGACTGAAGTTTCAAAGGAGCTGGAACACTACTGTTTTCCATCACTGAGGTGTATGAATCAGACTCTTCTCGGTGTTCACATTTCCAAAATAGAGAAAGGAGTCAGATGCTGAGGGTTCCAGAAAGATGTAACCAATCCACAATCCTCTGCCATGCCTACTCTCTTTATATATATGTATATATAAAGCTCTGTTTATTTAAAAGGTAATTGTTATAAATGTGTGGTATAAAATAAATTTGTATTCATGAAATGCCTCATTTTTCTCAATTAGATATCACGATTTCTAAAAGAATTGGGTTAGACAAATCATCTTGAAGTTGTAAAAGAGTTAAAAACTGACTGTTATTTGACCTATCTCTTTTTGAATATGTAAGATATCAAAAATCAAGGGTTTTGTGCTTTTTTAAAAAAAACCATACCAGTACCTAAAGAACAAGAAGAAAACCAAGTAGATAATAAAGTCTTGGCTTTCTTGATGTTTCCAAATCTGGAGTTCATTTGGATTATACCTTTTCTATAGACAAGGATATTAACTCACACAAGTGGTTTTTGTATGTACACCTGTGTGTCAGCCACGGTCATCTTTATGCTATGTACCCTGCCAGTAGAACATAGTAAAATGCGTACAGTGGATCTTAATAAATACTGATTCGATTGACTTGTGGGGATGAACATGTGAACCCCTCTGAGAGAAGGCATAATGTCATTTTGTAGAGAGCGACACTGAATTCTTTGAGCATTGAGAATCCCCAGCACTGCTATTTCTCACAGGCGACAATATGTCTTAGTGACTCCTTGCCTTCTGATTACGTGCTCTTTAAATGCTGACCGTGTATGGTTCTGGACATAGGGTTTTACTGATGAGCAGCTTTCCGTATTTTTGCAGTGCCCTTTTATTTGCTTTATTCCTCTATCTGAGCTCTTAATTTCAATGCCTTCCACCTGGACGTGATAGAGGGGGAGGGAATGCACACTTAACCCTGTTCTCTGAGCAATTGCCCAGTCGTTTATTTTTAGCTTTTGATGTTTTCTTGTTGACTTCCACCCTGTCTGTGGGAAGAGAGATAGTTAGAGACGGATGCGTACAGCCAAAGCCATGTCGCTTCCCCCTCTGCTTTGCATTTGGACAGACTGTCAGCGTAGGCTGCAAGGCTTGGAGAACATATTTATTCCTTGCAATTTGTAATGGTTATCCTGACAAGACCAGGCAAGGGCATGGGATAACTCTACTGTGATCACAGGAATCAGATATTTGGAAGAAATCTCTTTATATGGAAGGACAAGAATTTGCAGAATAAATTAGTATCTTCGTTTCTTTTCTGGTCCTTTGGGTTTTCCCCTGTCTTTCTTGGGAAGGCCTGAGAGTGCTTTCTCAGCATCATGTCCATTAACTGCCTGGTGGGCTTTGCAGCGTGACTGTGTCAGAGGGTAGAACTGAGTGCAATTGATGGAGAGCGGCGAAGAATTGGCTTTTCACATCCCTCCCTCTCTGTGCGCCTTGTGTTTAAAGGGAAGTAGAGCAGCCTCGTTTTGCTTCCCTTTATGCCTCTGGCATAATAGCAGCATTCATTTTAAAATTTACATTTGAAAAAAAATCTGTATATATTGCACAGACAGCCCTGGGTTTTCCTCGCTCATGTTTGCCTGCTCTACATGATGCCTGCATTCAGGGCTTTGCGGTCCCCAGTAACCACCAATGCTTTCTGTTCTGCTCCTTGACTTGTCCAGTTTTAGGGTTTTCTGCTGGGATAGTGGGCTTTACAGCCGTGTGCCCCCTTTCAAGAGGAAAGATACCTGAAAAGCGTTTCTACCACTTTTTAATGGTTTCCTTTGTTATTACCGCCCGCCATATAACACTTGTGCATCTTGGTTATACAGTGGCGTTCACCCTCCATCGATGGTACAGACATCAAATTCTAAAGACAAGATGCATTGAAATGCGAGGCTGAACATTTTTTTTTTTAAATCTCAATTTGAAATTCTGCTAGGAAGATCTTTGGATTTGGTGCACTTAGATTCTCATATTTTCTTGGCAAAGTCTAGACCCAAATGCATTTAACATGTTTTTCACTTGAGCGTTTACAGCTACATTTGCCTCTCAAAAGAGTTATGAAAGATAATTAGTTGGCTCTGTGGTGGGAAAGCTGCCTTTGCCTTCTTTCGCTAGCTAATGATTAATATCTTGTGCAGAGCTTGACGTGGAAGCAATGCTGGGTTTTGTTGCTTGCTAGTTCGTTCCCAAAGAGTGAGCTTTGAAAACAATGTCATTGAGAGCACAAAGTTTATGGAAATATGTTTCATTGTGGGCCTTCTTCCAGGGCACAGGCTTCTGCTGACTTGAGGAGGGTTCGTTTCACCAATCACGGTGCTGGCTGTTATATTCTCTGATCCCCTCTGACTGTTTTTCTTTTTCTTTTTAATGGACTATTCACCAGAACAGACAAACACCTGCTCTGGTTCCTTCTCCTTCACTGGCTCCCCGTGAGGGATGCACGGTTGTTTTGGACCCTGTGTTTGCTGGTCAAATGTCTACTGGAGAGGGAATCCTGCTTTCCCTAATGTAAGAAGAATTTGCAGTGCCCATGAATGTAGTATTCTTAACATTTCTCCAGCATGAGACCCCAGAGATGAACCACACCATGTTTGCAAAGAGGCACAACATTGCATTGTGGTCGTTCAACGTAGGTGCCATTGGCTATGATGTGCTTGGATGACAGTTTGGGCATTGATGCGAATGTTGGCATTCTCCACAGTGCTACCTCCTAGGGTACATCTGAAACACACCTTCTCCCTCTTCAACATGACATTCACAACATTATACAATGATGGTTGCCTCTTGCTGCGATTTATGTTGTGGCTGTACTAGAAGGTGTTATCTGAGAATCCAAATTCTTCTTCCCAAGTAATTTAATCTCCTAGAAAGTTTATTGGCCTATTGATCTTTCAGTGTGGACACTGACCTGTGTATCCACCAAAACCTGTCTGTCCTTTCCATGCAGAGAACTTGGTATATGGAGGTATGAAAAAAGTCCTTTTTAAGTGACATGAAATCACATGGTAACAATTTGGGGACCGGGTCTTGCTGTACATGGAATGTACTGTATAGGCCAGGCTTGCCTTAAACTTGTGATCCTCCTGCCTCAGGCTCCAAAGCATTGAGATTACAGTAGTCATGAACTGCCATGCCTGGTCTGAGGGCATAGCCTTTGCCGAGAAGTGAGTAGACCAGAAAACACATGTGAAGCTTCCCCTTGAATTTTGCATGGAACTGTAAGTGAAGACAATTCCATTCTAAATTCCTAGTCAGAAGCAAATGACAGATGATCTTGAAATGACAGAAGAATTTTTATTGCCTGAAAAACTAATAATTTGTTTAGATACAGATATCAAAAAATAGTGTGGAAGAGATAAAGGAATGAGTTGTGGACATGATTGGCATAATTGATGTATATTCAAGAAGAATCTATAAATAGACCGAGAAAGGCATTTAAGATCCCAACAGTCAGTGGGATCCTGGACAATACTTAAAGGTGTGGAACAAAACAGATCCCAGGCAGTGGAGCAGGCACAGACTATGTGCTCATAGCTTGGCTTCAGATGGAATGCTGCTGTGTGGCCTTAGTCCCAGCACTTGGGAGACAGAGGCAGGAGGATCTCTGTGAGCTTGAGGCCAGACTGGTCTACAAGAGTGAATTCCAGGACAGCTAGGACTGTTACACTGAGAAACCCTGTGTCAAAAACAAAAACAAAAAAAACAAAAACCCAAAAAAGCAAAAAAGAAAATGACCTAGCCAACCACACCCCAGTGTCCTAAAATGAAAATCAGAATTAGTGCTTGCCTCTAGGTTTCTTCTACGAGATATCAGTGAAGTCCCAGCTGTAATGTGACCGGAATAGAAGCTGGCACAAAGCTAATATCCCGTGTTTCCTCCTCATAATCGTACTTGAGAGAGAAGTACTGGGGGTTGACTACTTTTTCCAGGAATGCGATTACAACACCAGGCGGAAACGCAAAACATCCTTTTCAGGAACTTGAAGACCGCACCTTTGTGCAGCTGGCCTAGATTTGCACAGGAAAGTAGATCTTGTCAGGAGATGAGCATGACAAATGAGTAAATGACATCATGATAGAGATCAGCCAAGGTGTAACCAGATCTCTGTCTATTACCCTCTTGGCTTGGAGGTAATGTAAAACCTGAATCATTGATGTTTGCATCTCGATCAGCCGCTCACAGGTCTTTCCTCAGCCCATGCTTCTGCTCATAGGCAGACTGGGCACGAAGTGTCCCCATGAAAAAGCTTGAGTTTGGTTATATGTTTTAACTTGATCTACAAAAATAAGCAGTATGGTACTCCAGTGGCAGTCTTCAAAACAGATGTATCTTTAAAACCCACATTCTATACTTATATCTTTATAGATGAGGAATTTTCAGCAGTGAGTACTTAAGATTAATTGTCCAACTGAAGGTTCCATTTAGAACCAGTTACGTCTCATTGTTCCCATCAGGTCACAATGAAAGGGATTCTGCCATCCTACAGAGCTTCCTTTCAGTTTAAGGGTTGCTGGCTGATACAATGGGAAGTATGTCCAGTTGTTTTCAAACGATTAAACTGCAAGTGTTGAAGACGTCCCGAAAGTTTCGAAAAAGCCTTTGTTGATTTTAACCCACAGAAGTCAGGGACAGGTGACCTCAAGTGTTCCTGGATGCCGTGGGCCAGTCATCTTCTGCATGGTGGGAGTGGTGGAAGTTTCGAGATGGGATCTTCTGTGAGCTTGGACTCACTGAGTAGCTGAGGATGATCTTGAACTTCTGGTCCTCCAGCTTCCATCTCCGGAGTGCTGGGATTATAGGTGTGTGCCACCAGGTCTGGTTTATGTGGTGCTGGGGCCAGGGCTTTGTCGATGCTAGGAGACACTCTACCAAAGGAGCTCTGTCCCTAGGCTCAGAGTGACCCTGGGATGAGAAGCTGTGAGGATGTGCTTCTGACCACTGCCAAGGTGTCAGCAAACTATGTTGAAATCAAAGCTTCTCAATTCAGGGACAGCAATACAGAGACATGGGACACAGATTATTGGACTTAGTGCCTTCCAATGGGGATAACTAGTAGGGATGATAAAGCTGTCGGATGGGAGGTTGAAAGACTGGGAAGTGACTTACAGAATAATGACCCAGAAAGTGGAACCCTACTGAAAAGACATGTACAGTTTCTAGTCTTGGCAACATGGATAGGGTCAGAGCATCCACAAACACTTAGGCTGAGCCTTGAATTCAGACATTAATTGTTTCTCATTAGCTTAAATGTATTCGTTGGATTTCCTCTTGTACAGTACTGGGTTATTTGGGATGGTGTAGAGCTTTAATATCTTTCTGAGGTCATCGGCTAACATTGAAACCACAGTGCTTACCAACATACAATCATTAAGTGTTTTTTAATTATTTCTAGTCCAAAGTAGATTATGGGAAGAAGTGAGATACATTTGGCCGAATGAATCGGGAAAACTGCTGGCAGTCCCTGACTGGGGGCCAGCCTTGGTTGCCCAAGAGAGTGAATTAATTGCCAATGAGATCCCAGAAGCTTGGCTTTTAAAACAGGAAGTTGTTCTGGCAGTGTTAGTTCTGTAAGAATGGGAGGACACCCAGGAAACCAGTCTTTAGGTTTCTTCTAAATTTAGTATCTGGTATGTAATCCGTACATCCTGGTCTGTACTCTCTCCTCTGTGGTTTCCCCACATGGATTTCTCTTGCTTCTTAGGCCTTCTCTGGGGAGTTGCTACTTGGGTCTTGTTTGGGTAACACTGGGGTGCCCGCAGGCTTTGGCCTCCTCTCCTATAGTGCATCAACTGTCGACCGCTTTCATTCCCCTTGGGCCAGGTTGCCGTATCCTAGACACGGAGGTGATAATCACCTATATTTACAGCCCATGTGGAACCTGTGTGAAGCTTGAGATTTTACAGTGCAGACACGGGCGGCAGCCATGGAGGTCGATGGATGTTCTTAGAATCACACCGCTGAGCTCTGTGAATGGCTCTCGAATGCTCACTGATGCTGCCTCAAGTGTCTCAGGGGAGCTTTTCCTTCTCACTGCCATATGACAATATTACTAGGCAACTTGGAGCTTCAGGAGAAGGCAGATTTCCCCATGGTGTCACCAGATGTATGTGAAATTTTTGATTGACTTAATTTTTCCCTTAAATTATCCATTTGATTTTTTAATAATTTTTGGATGTATTCAAAACATAGTCACTAAAGTCACAGAGATGTTCTTGAATCTGGGCAGGGACCAGAAGGTGCGCTCGTGAATGAAAGAGTTCCACAATATTTTTGCTTCTAAATAGCCTCTCCTTTCACGGCTGATTCTTGACAAGGGCTGCAGGCAAGCAAAAATTTACTTTTATTATCTTGTAATTTGGGACTTAATATATTTCTACCATGGTTTCTTCTCCCTTGTAAAGGGGAGAGGATTTAGAAGTTATTACTCTGTGTCTAGTTAAGGAATAAATATCCCTGGCAGTTTATGCTTCCCTTCAAAATAAATGGGTGTTTTATGTCTATAGAGGGAGGAATGCAGTGTTCCGCTCCTGCAAAGAAATGAGTTACAGCAGGAGATGGTGGTTAGATGGGGATTTGAACTTTTGTGACTGAATATTGAATTCCCTTTATAAGGCAGGGGGATTGCAGCTCTGTTCAGGCAGGCATAACACAGTTCTTACAGGCTCTGCATAGCAGAAATGGCTGCTCCTTTCTGTTTGGATGTGTAGATTGAAGACTAGCTGTAGGAGACATGGGTGAGAATCTGGACAGAGAACCCTACTAACCTTTTTTTTAAATTTTTAAAGTTATCTGAGATCGTGTTAAGAAAGGTAGGACAGATGTAGTCAGAGAAATATTACATATTTTCTCTCATTTTGGAGCCTAGACTTTACAGACAAAGCCATTTTTATATGCAACACAGAAGGAGTGAGATAGAAGAAAGAGGGGAACCAGTGGGAGTGAGGAAGTGGGGGAGAGGTGAAGGAAGTGGGGTGCATATTGTCAGAGAACATTTGGTGTCAACTGTGTTTATAAAACTAAGCAGTATGCATAATGAAGAACCCCCACCCAAGTCCCCCAAAACTGTACATGTGGGGGCATCCTTGTAAAATGTGTAAAATCAATATTGGGTTGTTTTCACATGGAAGATGGGTTAACATCTGTTTTCTTGTGCTGATTTTGAAATTGATCTGAACATAACTTGGTTTTGTGCTCTAGGAATCAACCCCCCTCCCACCCTTACCGAGGGTGAGCTCTGATTGAGCCAGCCTCCTCGTCCTGGGTATAATTCTTGCTACTTTCAATTTCATAACAAAGGACACAGGTTGGATTCTTTCCCCAGGGGATTTATTGTTTATCAATCTTAACATTATTAAAGTTCAAGTGTCCACTAAGCATATCTCAAGCTAAAGCTACCTAAGTCCGAGCCTTTGGTGACCTAAAACAACTTACTCCATGGCCCATAAGAAGTGTACGTAGCTCATCTGATAGTGACCTTGATAGTTGAGAAAAGGCATCAGAAAGTTCCCTAAGTTGTTACTCCTACCCTGGCCAGGGAGTCTCCCACATGGAGTTGTGCCGGCCTCACCTTCTTTGAGAGAAGCCCATCTTCGTCTCGCAGTTTTCGGCTTTTGTTGTTCTATCTTTGTGAATTTCTCTGTCTTTGAGATGGAGTCCCTTCATTCCTTCTTTCCTTCCTTTTTTCTTTCTTTTCTTTTCTTTCCTTCTTCCCTCCCCCCTCTTTCTTTTTCTTTTTGTTTCTTGAGACAGGCAGCCTGTCCTGGAACTCACTCTGTAGACCAGGCTGGCCTCGAACTCACAGAGATCCACTTTTACCTCCTTCTAAGTGCTGGGATTAAAGGTGTGGGCTACCACTGCCCGGACCTGTTCTTTCTTATGCTGACTCCCATTCTTGTTAACCTAGTCATACAGGGACCTTCTAGTGTGTCATCTTACCTGAAATTGCCAATTACACTCTGATTCATTGAGGGACGTGTTCAGGAAGAGAAATATAATTCCTTGGAAGTGATTCTCTATAAAGGACTTGCATTCTAGAGAGCCACGTTTTTTCATAAAAGCATTGGTGTGGTTCCTCATGTGATCATATGGGCAGAGCTCACTGACTTTGCTACACTTCCCTGAACCCCACGGTAACCTTTACTAATGCCCAGTTCTTTCACAGCATCAAGCAACATTTATTATGCTACCAACTAATGCAGCCACATGTTGATTTTTATTATTATAAACTACCAAGTATTTCCCAGAATTTTAAAATATAATTTTATTACAGATTTTTTTTTAAAACTTTGAATAGGAAGAGAGAAAATGTGTAAACTCTCCTGTGAAAAATTTGTATGGATGACATTTGAACTGTATTTTCAGGTTAAACTATGATGCTTTTGTCATATGCTTAATAAAAATAATGAACTTTCTTTTTCAGAGTGATTTTAGGTTTACAATAAAATCTAAAGTCCCCACCTACCTGTGCCCCCATTCACACACCTTTCACTGTCAGCATCCTGTCTGCCATGGCATTGGGTCTGGCACAATCAGCCAATCTATGCCAACACATCCTTACAGGAAGTGGGTCATTCATGTCAGGGTTTTTCCTGGGTTGCATATTCTGTGGGTTTTGAAGCACATGTAATGTTCATCTTTATTTTCCTAATAGCACGTGGGGGTATTTTCGCTCCCCTAAAACGCCTCTGTGTTCTGCCTGCAGAATCCCCTCTCCCCACTAAGTCCTGGCAACCACTGATCTTTAGAGTGTCTTCATAGTTTTCTCTTCCAGAATGTCACATAGTTGGAATCAATCAGTGTGCAGACTTCTCAGATTGTCTTCTTTTACTTGCAATCTGCATTTACATTTTCGTGTCTTTTTATGCCTTGATAGCTCATTTCTTTTAAGCATTGAATACTCTTCTGCTGTCTGCGTGCAGCGGTTTATGACCTATATTTACTTTTGCTTCTGATCCCATTTGCTATGACACATTTGAATGTGAATCATCACAGGGAAAACAAATCGATTATTTCCTATGGATCCAAAGTTTGCTACCGTGTCTGGATCCGAAGCTGACTTCTGTTTCCAGTCTATATGGCCTCCCCTTTATCACTTCTGCAGAGAGAAGTGTTCTGATCATGTACGTTGCCTTTGTTAGCAATGTACATTGATTGACAGTGGCTTCTAAGCACCTGAAAGCTCTGCATTCTGAGGGAAAAGGTGAGCTACTGCACGCAGAATGGGTGACCTGTGACAAGCAGGTGGATGTTGGCATGGTGATCCTGATAATAACTCGGAGTGAATGAGGAAAAGGGCTGCCCAGTGAGCCAAATCTGAGACGATTACCAAATTCCATGTATATAGCATGCCGTATGGTTTGTGCCAGCAGCCATTTGTGGACCAGGCCCTACAGCAGAGATGTAGGTATAACTGAGCAGTGAGGGTCGGATGCAAGTTAGCAAGGCCTGCATTCTGGTACCCTGCCTTCTTTTCATGAGGTTTAAGAACAGTGGCAAACTTCAAGTCCCCTGAGCCTTCCCAGTTTCTATCAGCCAGGGTTATTAGTCTATTTTACTTTATTAGTCTACTTTACACTAGGGTATAGCAATACATTCCTTTAAGGTTTTCAATATAACAAACACTGTGAGCCCCTACTGTGGATGTAGGATGAGATCCTAGACAGAAAACATTTTTGCAGAATTTTTGAAGACACACATGCTTTTTGGAGACTTTAAGCTGTTTTATTTTTATATTAAGGTCAGATCCACTTTTATTATGTTGCTATATCAAAGTAATGGACACTTTTAGATCTCTGCCAGTAATTTGACTAAAAGTTACAGTTGGAATGTTCTTCAGTGATTCTGCCTCTGAGAAAATAATGTGTTAGGTTCTGATTTAAAAGGTTTTAAAATGTCTGTGTAGGCGTGTGTGCATGTGTATGTGCTTGTGCGTGTGTGTATGTGTGTATAGACATGATGTGTATGGGTAGAGAACATGCTATGGTGTGTCTATGGAGATCAGAAGACAATTTCATGAAGTCCTTTTTCTTCTTCTTCCATTTTTACTTGGTTCCCAGGGATCCGACTCGGGTCAGCAGGTTTGCATGGCAAGGATTTCAACTCGTGGCATCTTGCTGGCCCAGGTTTGTTTCTTTAAACACTGACAACATAACAAATTATGACTCCACTTTTATTCATGGGTTTGCCATTTTTGAGTTGAGTGCACACATTCCTTTATAACAATTTCAGTACAGGCAAAGTACTAAATTAGTTGCCCCCACCCCCATCCTCCAAAATGGGATCTGAATGTATTTTATGGAAAGAACTTCACCTCATCCCATCCCCCACTAAAAAGGCTGAAACCCACCTCATCCCTTTCGCTTAAGAACGTGGCTGTTCCCCTCCCTCACTCACAAAATCACTTCCCTTGTAAACATACTCCCCGAAAAGGAAAGATCAAAAAGTCATTTTTTGAAGGAACATCCAAGATTTCAAGGCAATATTTTGTGTTCACGGTACAAGATAAATCTGAGTATTTCTGATTTTTTTAGTCTTCATATGGCATCTGAAACAGTTGTTCACATTCGCACATCTCTGCTCCGCCATATGCATACCGTGTGCGGCTCTGTTGTTTTAAAATATTTTATTGGTTTTCTTTCATATCTCAACTTTTGATGGGTGTCCTTGAAGAACTTGCATAAAAGATGTAAATGTGAATGATTCATTCATTCTGAGCACATGTAACTATTTCGGGAGCCGTCTTCAGGAGGTTTTACCCTACGGTGGAGCAGGCTGTTCTCAGTGGGGAGAGCTTCTCAGGGCTGCTCTGCTCCTGGCTGGATAATGCGGATGCAGGGGCATGACCGTCTCTTCCAAGTTCATGTTTCCTGCCAGGTACCTGCTCTGTATGCTGCACTGCTCTTGTTCTTTGATGGTTAGCAGCAGGTTCACACTTTATTTACACCATTCTTTTAGCATAAAATCGAGTCTTCACCTAGATTTCCAAGCCACTCGCAGAGTTTTTTGATAAGTTTATTGTTGAAGGCCGGGCTCTTGTTAAGTAAGAGTTGCCCTGAGGCCTGTCCCGGGACTTCATAGGCATTTCAGACCTGTCCTCTATTGTATGTCCCCCTCCGAACAAAGTTCATCTTCATGGAACACCTGTGTGATCAAGAGGATGTATGTGAGGGAGAGAGGAGCAGAGAGAATGCACCATCAGTGTATTCTGTATGGAGTCCTCTGTTTCTCCCAGCACGGCGTCACTGGCTTTAGGGTGCCCCATTAAAGCTTAAATGACATACATCTCTGTCTGTCTGAAGAACAGACAGAATGTAATGACCCTCCCCATTTCTAAAGTTACTTCTGTCAGTGACAAATTAGCATGGCAGAAAAGGCGTTGGTGTTTTTAAAACTGTGAAACTTAACATCGATGTACTTTTTCTAACTTTTGTACTGTTCCTGATTTTGTATGGATGGTGCTGAGCCACTATGGTCCATTGTCTCTACCAGGCCACCAGAGAGGTGTAGGATGTCAACCCTCTTGTGCTGGGAACAACCTTTGAGAGGCCATTAGAAGCGTCTGAAAGTGTTTGCCTGTGATGGGGAATAAATTCATGCCTGGAAGAGTTACAGTTTTTCCTCTACAAATCATAGAAGATGCTCAGTCTCAGTGATGTGGAAAAGCACATTTATGCAGCCTGAAATCTGTTTCTGTATTAGATATTTAAATGCATGAGGACAAATCTGAATTGCATTTTGTTTAAAAATGAAACCCACAAGCATTAGCCTCAGTTTGTTCAAAATGTCTCATGAAACTGAATCCATGGTAGTTCCAAATTGAGAAGCAGTCTGATTTTGTAAAAGCATTGTTACTGTACAGGTCTTGTCAATAAAGTTTTAGCAGGTGGTTTGTATGTACCTGTGTCTATTTTTTTTAATGTTGAAAAAGGTATTTTGCAGCACCTTGTATATTTTATGAGCCTGAATGATGTTATTTTACCATGTACAAAAACCATCCCAGCTGCAGACATGCAGGTCAGAACCCTAAGTATTGCCCAAATTATTCAGCTTTAGTAGAGGTGATTCCCCTTCAGGGACACTCTTGTCCAGATATCCTGAACCCCTCTGTGCTCACTCATCTCTAGTTTACAGTGTTGAGATGCACAGAGCTCAAAGGAGAGGGAGCCCAGCCGTTCCGTCCAGCAGCTCCACAGCACAGAAAACAAGTCCAAGTCCTCCAGACTGAAAGACAGCGCGACACTCCTCTCTAAACCCTCCAGGAACAGTTTTTTCCCACTATTTTGATGAGCTATTTTTATGTTGGTTGTGGCATTAATATCACTAGTTGTCCTGAATGTGGGCATATTTGCTCCAGAAGGTTTTTCGACTCCACAGTCTGAACCATTTTTTTGACCATGCAGCTTTCTTCTGAGTACCTCTCCATCTGAGGCTTTGCCACCTTCGAGTCATAATGTGTTCTCAAGGAACACTCTGCCTTGTCAACAGGGGAGAAAGAAAGGCATGAGAGAGAATGAAACAATCTGATCTAGGGGCTACACTTCTATTGGCCAAGACCAGCCACACAACTCTACTGTCTTTAAGATGGTGGAGAATCAGGCCACAGAGACCTGAGTTTGATCTCCTAGACCCACGTTATGAATGAGATGGATAAATTGCTTTGGCATCTACACATGTACCCTAGTATGCGTGTTCATGAATGTGCACACACACTAAATTAAAAAAAGCAATACAGTTTCCTTTTGAAAAGATTGGGAATTTTAATGGGGAGATGATCTGAAAATAGCAAGCATCCTCTAGACAGCATCTCACACCCTGACATCCTTTCTTTGGTCCATCGTCTGAAATGAGCTTCTTCATAAGTGTTCACACCTTGGTGGTCACAACCAAAGACCTAGTGGTGCTCAGCTGCATTTTAACCCCAGGTCCTTCTCAACCGTGACTGTACAAGAACCACATAGGCTGGCTAAAGTCTTCTGCTTGTTCACCAACAGTCATGTTGGATTTCAAGCATTTTGGGATGGTGGGAACACTGCTGAAATGAAGGCTTCAAGTCCATGGCAAATTGCTCTGGGCTGGTAGCCTGGGCAAGGCTAGATGCTCCTACATATGGGCCACAGTGATCCACAGATGGTATATGAAGGTACCAAAATACACAATTTAAGCTGTAAGTAAAGAAGAGTGCAGAAGAAACAGGTCTTTGGGTAACTAAGTTTAGAATATGTCATCTGGAGTCTCTAGAACTCCGCCTAGGACGACTGCCTCGTGACACTTCAGCTGAGACTCTCCCATCCATAAGGGCTGAAATAGTAACCCTTTCTATGACCATGGATATCTTTTTCCTTGTATTTCCAAGCCCATATGGCAGGTTTTAAGCTCTATAGCATGATTTATTTATAATATGAAATCCCCTTTTACATTTTTTATTTCTTGATATGTCAGTTTCCTTTCCATATACAACTCCTTGATCTCTTTCAAATTCATGGCCTCCTTTTTCATTAATTATTCTTATATGAATCTATGTATATGCATATATATTCCTAAATACAGAAATACAACCGTCTCAGTCTGTATAATGTCACTTGTATGTATGTTTTCAGAGTTGACTGTTTGGCCTTGGATAACCAGTTGGTGTGCTCTTCCCTAGGGAAGACTTTTCCTCCTTCGCTTGGCAGTCCTTAGTTGCCTGTAGTGCTTTCTGTAGAGTTACTTTGAAAGCATTAACATTTGACTGAAGAATCAAATCGTATTAACACCCTAAAACTCCTTGCGGTCTCTGGGGCTATTTCTCCAGGAGAGTTTGGAAATACTGCTCGAATGGAAGCTAGCAGGAGTAAAGCGTTTGGGACGTTCCATCTGCTATCGTCTGGACACCGTGGCACATGCCTGTTATCCCAGCTCTCAGAAGGCTGAGGCAGAAGGTCTAGAGTTGAAAGCTGACCTGGGATATGCAGCAAGATGTGGTCACCAAAGAACAACACAGATATTTGCAGATTTCAATGGGCCTGCAGGGATTAAGAATCAAACCTTTTTTCTGTGTCTAGTTTTGTCACTAGGCCACTCTGTCACCCTTATGCTTCCTTCACATTTTCTAATGTCTAATGTTTTTTAGGGGAGCCTTAAATAAAAGGGAGATAGGGCAGTTACTCGAAAGTGACATCACAGCGGACCAGGTTGCCTGATCAGTTCAGATACATTGCATGTGTGCCCATGTTACTCCTCCTCCCCCCACCCCCCACCCCGGAGGAACGGCGGGCTACTGCGTCCTGCCACCCGGCTAGCTTTACCCCCAAAATAATTCTGTTGTAATAGGATTGGTGGGCTGGGCTGCGTCCCGCCACCTGACTATACCCAAAATAATTACACGGAAACTGTATTCTTTTAAACACTGCCTGGCTCATTAGTCCCAGTTTCTTATTGGCTAGGTCTTATATATCAATCTAACCCATTTCTAATAATCTGTGTAGCTCCACAAGCTGGCTTACCAGGAAAAATCTTAACCTGCATCTGTCTGGAGTGCGAGTATCATGGCGACTCCTTGACTCAGCTTCTTTCTCCCAGCATTCTGTTCTGTTTACTCCGCCTACCTAATTTTATGTCCTATTAAAGGGCCAAGGCAGTTTCTTTTTTTTTTTTTTTTTTTTTTTTTTTTTTTTTTTTTTTTTGGTTTTTCGAGACAGGGTTTCTCTGTGGCTTTGGAGCCTGTCCTGGAACTAGCTCTGTAGACCAGGCTGGTCTCGAACTCACAGAGATCCGCCTACCTCTGCCTCCCGAGTGCTGGGATTAAAGGCGTGCGCCACCATCGCCCGGCTGGCAGTTTCTTTATTTAACCAATGAAACAACAGATAGAAAGATGACCCTCCTCCATCATTTCCCCTTTTTCTGTTTAAACAAAGAGGAAGGCTTTAACTTTAACATAGTAAGATTACATATAACAAAACAGTTATCAAGCAAGAATTACAGTTACAGTATTTATATCTACTTTATCTTTTATCATAACCAAGGAAAACTATAGCTATAACTAACTATTCTTCAACTCCATCAAAGACTCCAGAAGGATATAATATTGCCTAAGCAAACAAGAAATCCAAAGCTCTCTAGACAAACAAGAAATCCAAAGCTTTCTAAATGACAGAGACATCTCTCTGCCTGTACAGTCACCCAAAGTTCCTCTGTACCGTTGGGGAATCCATCTTCAGGCCCATAGTATCTAGCAGACATTTCCATGAAGCAGGAAATTTCAAAGACAGTTAGTCACTATCTGCTGTGTCCTGCAGAATGTCTCGCAGACTCTTTCATGAGTCATGAACCCCAAAAGACCATCTTACCTTTAGGCAAGTTCAGCAGTCCTCTCTCCGCGGGTTCTCTGTGTCCATTTTATGCAACAGTCCAGGCAAGAGCAGTTTCTTGCCCAAATGGCTATCAAACTCCATAAGGATCCTCTTCGATGCCCATCTTCCTCTCGAAGTAGATTGGTGCCGCCAGGAGCAGACATGTCTCATTTTCATGAAAAGTCCTAAGTTATTAAAATATTTTAAATGCCATATTCTACAGCCTTTGAGAGATATGAAGAATGCCTATCTGAAATATATCTCTATATATCTAGAAAATCTAAGTAACATGACTACAAACTTGACTATTATTTATGATTATCCATCAACAACATTAACAATGTTAATTATTTCCTAATTATACATTACATTTTAAAAATGAACGACACAATCACAATACCTTAATCAAGATCAGAAATACATATACATATCACAAAATTGACCTTAAAATCCATACCAATGCAAATTATTCATACCTATATCATTTCCCCCTTCAAATGTAAAAGAACATTTATAAACAATATTTTGGGAACATGGGCACAGTTTTTTTTCTCCAAACTGCTTCCTGCTCAATGGGGGCACTGTTAATCAGATCATTTAGGGTGTAACCTGTGTGCCAGGTTTATCTCAGTTGGCAGTTGAGTGAAGTAATTTTTTGAGGGTGTTCACAGCAACTTTTGGGGAGGTCGTGGTCTATCATACCATATCGGGATAGAATCAATCCACAGGGTCTGGTCCTCTGTGAAAACAAAAGAAGACCCTCTCCAAAGCATCATATCCTTAGACCCAAATTTTGAAATCGTAATACCCTTATATCCATTCTGGTTTAGCTTGGCAGCCCATGTAATGAAATGTCTCTCTGTACTTAGCTCCTTACAGTCAAAAATTTTAAAGAAAACACAATGTACATAATCCAGACTCTCTGTGAATTTTCCATTTTTATGTGACTTATTTTTATTTCTTTTAATCTCTTAACTATCTGTACTCTGTCTCTTTAAAGACTTTACCCTTTTTTTAAGACGTTAACTTTATTCTTTATATTCTTTTTCTTCTCTCTCCCAAGCCTACGTACATTCATCCAACAGTGTCTGAATCTGTTTTATTGTGAATCTGTAATTTTTTTTAATTTATTTTTTTTTATTTCCTTCCATTTTTTTTTAAATTTATTTATTTATTAAGGATTTCTGCCTCGTCCCCACAACCGCTTCCCATTTCCCTCCCCCTCCCCCAATCAAGTTTTTACTATCCAGGAGCACTTTGTTTTGCGCCTTTAAATCACTAAGCGCTTAAGAATCTAAGCTGTGACAATTCCTAAGTCAAAAACAGGTACTGCCTGCTTGCCCCGCCCAGTCCAACATGGCGGAGCCGCTCGTGCCTCTGATCCTTGCACATTGCACCAGTAGCGTGGTGGAGCTGCTTGTGCCTCTGAGTCACAGCACACAATGACTTCCTTTTAGGCACACAGCAAGTCTAGTTGCCATCAAACAAATCGTAGCACTTTACTCCAAATGCTCCATTCAAAAGCTCTGTCTCCTGCAGGAGCCAGACAGAGATCGCAATGGCGGCACAGCCCAGAAAGCCGGCATTTTAAAACAGCCAGTTTTTTCCTGCTGCTGAGTCAGGAAAATTTCAAAATGGAGGACGTACCATTTTGTGCTAGCTCTGGGGCCGCCAGGTAGGAGCAGCACTCAGCACTTTAATTCTGAGACTGAGTGTGCAGCACAGAAATTCTTTTCATCCAAGTTACATCCAAATCTGACACGCAGAGCACTGTGCAGTCTGAAAACACGTCTCTGTATGGCGGCGGAATCCGCCATGCTCTTCCGCCTGCCTAAGCCTGATTCGGCCATCTGCCCAGGTGCAGGCCAGGAGGCGTCAGCATGGTCTCAGAGCACTCTCCTTCCAATCCCAAGTGGGAACACAAACATCCAGTCCCCTGAAAGCCTTTGAAATGCTTTAAAGCCAGAGTTCATGCTGGCAGCACAGCCCCAGGAAGCTGCGCTTTAAAATGAGGCAGCTTTTTTTTTTTCTGTTGCTGTTGCTGAATCAGGAAATCTCTCTACAGCACGCCAGCAACAAAGAGCAAAACTCTGCGTTAAACTCTGTTTTTTTTTCTTTGTTTAAAATTAAGCTCTTTCAGGTTTTTAAGTGGATTTAGCCCATTACATCTGGGTGCCACTCTGTTGTAATAAGATTGGCGGGCTGGGCTGCGTCCCGCCACCCGGCTAGCTTTACCCCGAAAATAATTACATGGAAACTGTATTCTTTTAAACACTGCCTGGCTCATTAGTTCCAGTTTCTTATTGGCTAGGTCTTACATATCAATCTAACCCATTTCCAATAATCTGTGTAGCTCCACAAGCTGGTTTACCAGGAAAGATCTTAACCTGCGTCCTTCTGGAGTGCGAGAATCATGGTGACTCCTTGACTCAGCTTCTTTCTCCCAGCATTCTGTTCTGTTTACTCCGCCTACCTAATTTTATGTCCTATTAAAGGGCCAAGGCAGTTTCTTTATTTAACCAATGAAACAACAGATAGAAAGATGACCCTCCTCCATCACGCCCCCCCCCTTCCGCCCCTGCAGGAAGGGTTTTTCTGCATTGGTTCCATAGTGATATAGCATGAGATTATGGGTGCTTTTTTTTCTTTTTGTATGTATTCAGTTCTGGAGACTGAATCTACAGGCTCGTACATGCTAGGCAGATGCTCTGCTACTGAGGTTTTCCTCCATTTCTGTGGGGTGGGCAATGTTCCTCAGTGATCTGCCTTGGCAGCATATGTTATCATGCTCAACATTTAAAGGTGAGTCTGGGCCTTGAACTCGGGTCCTTGGGCTTTGATAGCAAATATTTTGCTGACCGAGCTGTTGTCCCAGCCTGTGGGGATGCATTCCTAGCAAAAAGAAAACAGCTCAATTCAGAGGACTCACATTCGGGTCCGAGGGCTGGGACGCAGACTGCTAAGGAAAACAGCAAAGTGACTCTAGGTTGGGTACTTCCTGTTGCTCAGGGAGACCAGACAGTGGTCTTTGGAAAGGAAACAAAGACCGTGCATAAATACAGTGCTTCCCTAAGTCTTCCCACAGCCCTAGCTGAACACAACAGCAGCCGCTGGCTACCCCCAATGTGGGTCTCTAGCTAACCTAACAGCTACCCAGCTCAGGAAAACAGAGACCCAGAGGACATCATGGCCACAGGCTCAGCGGCGCTCCCTGGTGTACACCTGGCCCCGTGTGCTAGACACTGGGCACTCACTGAGACAACCAGCTTAGCATGTGGCAGGGTGAGTAGTGTAGGGTGGGCTGGGGAGCATGGCTCGGGCTGAAATAAGGAAAGTTGCTACAAGGACGTATTGAAACAACAACTTGCAGGTTGAGTGGGAGGAAGCCAGGTGAGAGGGAAGCACATTAAAGAGAAAGAAATACCGTGCACACAACACCGGAGTCTTTGGAAACCTCTTCCATACAAGGTAGGGAGGAGTTCTGGGTGGCTGGAAGCTAAAGGTCAAAGGGAGAGTCCCAGAGGAAGAGCTAGAGGAGAAGGAAAGAGATGGCAGTTCCTTTTAGTCTCCTGCGGCCAATAACAAAGTAGCCATGTAACATGCTCTGGATGCGCTGGATGCGGGGGATTTGAACTGCTCTCAGAGTCCCTCTTTAGTCCCAATTGCAGTAACTGTATGATTATTAGCTCTTTAGCCCACCTTGGCTACTTATTACTTCTCTGCCCAGTTCCAGCGCAGCTTGCCAGCTTCTCCAACCTCAAGGCAAACACACCCCCAGATCAAAGTTTGACAGAGGCATTGCGTGGATACGGAAGGCTTCTGAGCTGGGGAGTCACCTTGTAGCCCCACCTGCTTTGAAGATGGCTACCACCTCAGTATTTAACTCAATGGTATGTCACAGGTCTGTCTTGAATTTAAATATTTCTTTGTAAGTGATTCCCAATGGCGCTGACTTCTATCCTGGCCCTGGCCTAACTCTCTAGGGAGCCAGGGAAAGGCTGTGCTTCTTCCCTAGGGGAAATTTATCATCAAGGGGTCACGCTGGGCAAAAATGTCTTTACTAGGTGTTTTGTCTTCCTTTCTTGAATTTGTTCATTGGCTTCTCAAATATTTCCACTTTGAGGTTCTTACCATCTTTTTCCCTCCGATAAAAATAACACTAACAGCAGTGACAATGAGACGCAATGGCTCAGAATATAAACAAAAAACAGATCAAAACGTCTTTATCCAAAAGTCACAGACCATGCAAACCTTTGTGGAAATTACAATAAAGCAAAATTGAAACACATATAGTTCCTCCCAGTTTTCTTTGTGGAAGTAAGTACCCTTTTGGGTGCATTTAGAAATATGCGTTTTGTCTCTTAAGAATTTAATATAGATTTACAATGCAGTTTGATCATGTCCATTCTCCACTCCCTGGACCACTACCTTGGAAACCCCTACATCTTTCTTCCAATTTCATATCTGTTCTGCGATTACTTTTTTTTACAGAAAATTTCATGTTAATTGAAGAGTTTATTTTCCTCTCTCAGATCTAAGTAAAGTCTACTTGAATGAAGTATTTTAGACCATGGAAAACCCCTCCCCTACTCTGTGCTACCATCCCCAAATCTCCTGACATGTTGTCAGGAGACAGCCATACCGGGTACCCAAAGGAATTAGACTTGGGATTGAGTTTCATGGATTAATATTTCCCTCTTCCAAATCCGTCGTCAACTGCTCAAACCTGCTTAGAGAAACAAGAACGCAGTTGGAGACAGTCCCAGAGCCAAAGGATCCCACACAGCTCAGCGCAGCTCACACACCTTTAAGTGCTGTTCCACCACTGTCCCTAAATTCAATTTCCATGGGGACACCCATCTAGCCTCCAGTGAGTGACCGTTTCTTGGGACGCGAGGCTCCTCTCAACGCTCAAGCCCGTGACTCTCCTGCGTTGCTAGCTTTCTGGGTCTAAGTCAGTGGCGCGTGGCTAGACCCTTCTGTCCCAGCCTCCACTTCAGGTATAAGCTCCCAGACTAGTTCTCAGCAGCCCCCTCTGGTGCTCGAGCCGTTCAGGAAAGTTGCTGGGAGCGGTGGAGGGGCGTCATCGCCTCCTAGCAACGCTCCTAGCAACCGGATAACATCTGCTCCCTTTGGTCCAATGCGCGCCTAGAAAAGCCGCGCGCCCGCCTTGCGTTCTGAGCCCGAGCTAGAAGCGCTTCAGAGAAGGAGGGACCGACCTGCAGGAGCCGGCCGCCCCGCCGAGCTGCAGTCGCTGCCGCCGCTGCCACCACTGTCGCTGTCAGAGCCCGTCCGAAGAGTGACACCTTCGCGAAAAACAGGAGCTGCGAAACAGTTGCACACGCAGTCTTCGGGTGAGTGGACCCATCGTAATGTATGCCAGGACCCCTCCAGCCTAGGCGTCTGACCCCGAGGCCCAGAGAAGACGCGTTCCCTAGCATAGGTGGCTAGGGACTTGGCCTCGGATCCCACCCCGCCCCCAGCCATTGAAAAGTGACCAGCCACTGGTCCCGGATAACTTGATTTGATTTTTAAATCCCAGGATTGGATAATAAGACTCCCCCTCGGCTCACTACTGTTCGGTTAGTGCTCAGAAGTTTTCCACCCCCTTTGATTTTGCTTTGCTTGGCTGCCTGAGGCTGGAGAGCTGGAGGCAGCGAGCGCCCAAAGGCAGCCTGTGCTTATGGACAAAACGACACGGAGTAGGCTCAGTCAACACGTTTGGAGAGCAGGCTTCTGTTTTAGGTCCTCATCTGGAAAGGGTCCATCTGGCCAGGAGCAGCCGTTCACGGGTCCTCAGCCTCCTGAGCAGTAACCATAGTAACTCACCTCTCTAGATGAGATCGTCCTTATTGGATGCCCGTCTTCCCTTGGAAAGCCCGTCTCTCTAAATATAGAAGATGATGAGATCCATGAGCACACAGCCATGCAGACTAGGTGTGGTTAAACGGAACCCTTTGCTGAAAACTATCTTTCAGACGTGTAGCAGCGTCTGGCTACTTCGAACCTTGCCAGAAACAGTCACTAAACCAGAGAAAGACCAGTTACTGTGGTTCGAGTTAATTGCTTTGTGATGTTTGGAGCGAGCAACAGCCTGAAATCGGACAAGAGCTGGCTGTGATTTTTAAATATCAATCTTCCCCAAATAATCACCAGTAAACAACTGGTGTGATAAGTTATTGGGTACTTTCCAAATCTCTTAGGGGGGAGGTGACCCTACTCCTTCTCAAACTTAAGTGATTGTGTGTTTGAAGGCTTATCATTCTATCTAACCCAGATTCCAGATCAACCCCCACCTCAAACATCTCAGTCCCCCTCCCCCAGTCCCCAGCCCCCTCACGCCATCTCCTGCCCTGATAACTAATTCATGTCTCTGCATCCCTGATTCGGTAGAGGTGACTTATGCCAGTATGTCTCCTTGTTTCAAGATCTCCGGTCACCGTTCATGAGCCCGAGGCTGTGAGACATGCCCCATGTGCCAAGGGGGGTGCTCACCAAATCTTCTGAGGCTGTTCTAGACATACACTGTTCGGACTGAGTCAGCATTACCAGGTAATCACCGGCTGAAGAGAAGTTACTGTTTAAATATGTATCCAGAGAAATAAATGCTAATGTAGCATCGTGGCAACTCACAGGATCAATAGAAAGGGGCTGTTTATACAGGCCGTGGCTGGGCTGAAGTCAATAAAGGTTTTCTGTAAAGAGGACATTTGTGGGCTGTCAGATGTTCCTCTCTTAGACCCCTGTGATTTGGGCGGGCCAAGGGAGGGAACTTGGATCCCCGAAAATGTCTGAGCACACTGGCAGTGTGGGTCTGGGGTGAAAGAATTCTTCAAGTTGCCATAGGAGATTGTGGGCTCCTTTGGAATGCCAGTTTACATGAAGACTTACGATAGAGACCAAGAGAATTGCCTGCTTTCTTCTCAATTATGAGACTGCATTTGATATCTAAGCGAATGTTCAGCTTCTTAGCATTGTGGATCGTGGTGTACTAAGCTATCTCTGTGCAGTACCCTGCCAGAGGTGACTAGCCCAGCAAATGGTAAACTCAGAAAGATGAACCTCCATAGAGATGGGTGATTGGCAAGAATCTATTCAGATTCCCATTCACAAATTCTTTCTGATTTTATGTGGCTTTAGGAATGTCATGAGACTTTGAAATCATTCATTTATATGGTCGTTTATGGAAATCGCTGTAGTTTAATAATATTAGGATAAGGTTACCATATATGAACCACCCCCAAACTTCAGAGTTCATTACCTCTTAGTACCACCCAGGCTTCTCTCTTCTTTGATGATAATTGCCATTGTTTATTGTGAGGAACAAATCCATGGAGACAGATGAGATTCACTGCAGTCTTCCAGGGGCTGTGTAAGCGTTTGGTGTGTGGTCCCATTCTCAGGAGTGTGTGAACAAAGCAGCCACAATGATTGGTTCATGTATATGCATTAGTCTTGTAATTTATACTTGTATTATACATATGTATCATTTCTTATGCGATATACAGAGAAGTTTAAAACCTCTGTGTCCTCTGATGTCTAGCAATGACACTCTTGTCCATTGAGACCAGTGTCACAATCGCAAAGTCAAAGTGCTATTCAAGTTTTTGTCTTAATTTCTATCATGAAAGTGTAATATGCAGAATATGTACTGTGTAGATTTCGGTGAACATGTCTGCTGATGTCATAGCAATTAGTCCTAAATGAATAAAAAAATAAATGGTGTCATGAGAGCAGACACTTAATCCTAGAAACATTGGTGGCTTCCCCAGTTACAGTGAATCCACCCAAGAATACATTGGTGTTGAAGGCGCTAGGTACCTTTCTCGGTGTAGCTGCCATCCACACGCCCACACTTTGGGTTATAAGGAGTGTGTGTGTGTGTGTGTGTGTGTGTGTGTGTGTTTGAGATATGAAGCTTAGATTGGACCAAGCTGAGATCAAACAGCCTAGGGCTGGAACCGAGAGCTAATTGCAGCCTCCCGTTTCCAGCTGCTCACTCGGTCAGGAAGTTTTTAGGTGCACACCAACATTCATGTTCTGATGTATGTCTCCTGTAAGGCTTCGAAGATGCCTTGAAACACAGTGGAGTCTTTAAAATCTCCATCAAGTCTTCCATGTCTGGGCTCTCTGCTCACGACTCAGCTTCAACAGGAAAGACTTTCAGGTCCCAAGCATGCTTGGCAGTCAATACATAGCCAGTATAGATTGTCTTCCAGAGCAGTGTGTGCTTCTGAAACCTACATGACAACATAAATATGAAACTATATATATATATATATATATATATATATATATGAAAAATAGCATTCTCAGAAATGGAGGCAGGTGTGAACTGACCAAACTTTCAGCATGAAACAAAGGAAGAAAAACCTGCCTTTATATTGAACCTAGGGGACTGAAGAAGCCAATCTTGTCAACTCTCTTTATTTATATTGAATTTACAGTAAAAAATATATTTTTAACTTACATTAACAATAAGTTGTTTATTCAAATAATTCTAGTACATTATTTCCCTCATTTAGTCTAATACAATTATTTTAAATTTTTACGCCAGTCACTTTTATATTCTTGACTAGAGAAGAAAGAGAAAGTCTTCCTAATGGAGAGATAGGAGACTTCTAAATACTAGTGAGTGGATGGAGAAGAGGCGCAGATTTGAAACTGGCCGCTCTGCAGGGCTGTATCAGAGGTCTGTGAGACCGCAGGTACCTATCCAAAGGGGTAGGTCAGGATCTGAAAAGGTTGGGGATGCTTCCCAAGAGAAGTGGGAATCAGGAGTCCAAAGGCCTAGTTCTCTCTCTGCTACTTGTCATGTCTAGGTAATACAGTCAGTGGCTTCAGAAGATGCTTGTCTGAGCTTGAGCACAATGTATTTTAAGGATGCCCCATGCCTGTAGAAGGAGGGCACCCCACTGCCGAATATAATTTTCTTGCTAGAGAATCTCTAGATGGGAACTCAAAACTGACACCACGGGAGTGGAAGGCAGAACATCTCAACACCAGAGCAAGGGCTCGTAGAGAAGCAAGTGGTGATTCTGAGTTTTACACAGTTCTTCTTGGACAACTGAGGCAAACCTGGCCTTGGGAGGATTTTGTTGACACACTTAAATAAGATGTGGTAATGGATGATATACAAACAAAAGAGCCTGTGGGTGAGACTGGTTGAAAATGAAATGAAATTTATGCCCTGGCAATGCTGAAGCATGCATGGGAAGCCCATATATGGCGGTTCTGTTGAATTTGTCCATTTTGGGTTTCATGGTCAAAGTGGATGAGGATAACTGACCAGGTCTCTTCCTCAAGAGGGCACCAGATCTCATTACAGATGTTGTGAGCCACCATGTGGTTGCTGAGAATTGAACTCAGGACTTTTGGAATAGTAGTCAGTTTTCTTAACTGGTAAGCTATCTCTCCAGCCCCATGATACTGGTTAGGACTATCTAAAAGGCCTCTATTGTGCATAGGTCAGGGATCTAGACTCCTCCCTGAGCACAGGCCCTCGGTACCCACGAGAGTTAGACTCTCTCTCTAGACATTATTAGTGAGATAATTTTTGGAAACCATATCAAGAAATGTAGATGTGTGGCCAATTTTCTGTCAGTCTCACATTCTTAGGTGAAGGATGCAGGGAATGGGGGGCACCATTCCCCAGAAGGTGATACATCACAAGATGTACTCTCAAAGCTCATGACTTTTGGCCTCTGTCATTGCCATTGACCAACTTATTGGAGTAGTGGGCTGAGGTGCAGCCTAACTTCCTTATTGCCTGGCTGGTCACCTCTTATTTAATGGCATTTTCTCCGGTTCAGTAATCAGCAAAACAAGATAGGTTTGTGGGACTGCTAATGCTCCGTTCAGTAGTCTCCTTCTGTGCTTGGAACTATGCCAGGGGACCAGGACTCTCAGGCCAGAAAGTGCTGCTGCTATCTTGAGACATCACTGGCTATCAGTCTCTCTGGAAGTTCCTAAGGAAGCCTTCCAGAATCTGCAACTTGTTGGTAATCTGAAACCACCAATAAAATCAATATTGTGCTTGGAATGGATGACAAATCTGAAGAAACAGATTGTTCCATTGATTCAGAGCTAAACATTGACACCGAACTCTGCTACCATAGAGCATCATATCATGCAGAAAGCATCAAATCATCTAGAAAGGTGCTGGGTGCTTGCAGGGGTATTGACAGAGTGAAGATAGCTGATGGAGTACTGCTAGATATCAACAAAGCTATCTGTCCACGGACAGCAAGCCAATTTAGACTTGGACTTTGTTCCCATCTGCCTTCATGAACACACTCATGAATGTTTTATGTAACCCGTGCTTCACACCAGTGAGGGCACAAATGTCCTACATATAACATGATGCTTCTGAGTAGGCTACATATTCATGTTTTGAAAAGGGGTCATGGCAATCGTGATACCTCACAGTGATTGAGCCGAAACTGAGTGTGTGTGACAGACATAGAAGACCCCAGCTGAATGACAAACACGTCGGTGAGTTGGAAGTTGTTGCCCCCCCACCCACCCATGAAAAAGACCTCAGGCTCTTTCAGGTTACACCCGGAAGACAGGAAACAAATGACAGATGTGAAATTTGTCATGGTGGAATGCTGTAAACCACGCAGCAAGACCACAAACTATAGCTAACAGGGTCAGATGAGATAATTCTCTTTGTTGTTTGTTGTTGTTGTTGTTTCTGTTTGGTGTTTCTCTGGTTACATTGAGGATTGAACCCAAATCCTGTGCATGCGCGGTGACTGCCCTACCACCAAGTTACAAACCAGGCCTAGATTAGATAATCCCAAACAAAAGGATTTTTGGCCTTTAGAATGAAAACCATCATCTCTGATAGTTTTCCTCTCAGCTGAGCCTGGTTTAGACAAACAGAACACTTATACTTTCAAAGGCCATGGCCGGGCTAACATCACAAAAGGAGACCTGATAAGGCGGTGCTTTGTCTGTGATAGGCGTGGGCTGTGGGTCCAGCGAAGCTCATTGCTCTTTCTTCGGTTTCTCCTTTGACTTAAAGAAAAAAAAAATAAATTACTTAGTTGGGTGTTCTTTTACTGTTGTCTGCCCTTTCAAAGTGTTTATAAATTAATTTGCTGATGATGTTGCCTTAATGTACTGTCCCTGGGCCTCCTACCAAATGAAATCACTTGAATGCTAACAGGATCCCAGTTGCCTGGAGGCGAATGCAGAGCAATAAGGAAGCAATCGTTTGTAATCAGATTTGAAGCATTTATTTAAAGACATATATATGAATTGCCCTGCCAGAACTCTAATGACCGGTGGGGGCCAGTCTGGTCTGTGACTTTTGCTGTGTTACTTGCTTGAGCTCTTACGTTCTTACACATATATGCATGGAGCCTGGCACAGACATTTTGTGTGACCCAGAGGGTACAGTATTAGAAGTAATTTTTATGTTCAAACCAGCATTAGCTGTTTCACTTCAGAAATAAATTCCAGCTCAGCTCAATCCAGTTTTATAATTTGTAAACTCTGAATGCCGACTCTAAAGGCATCTAGTCACGTTGCTCTTGTTTATTCTTTGCGTTTTTAGGTGAATTACAAGCTTTTTGGTTGCAGGGACATAAGTGCATTTATTCCTGTCTACTCAGTCACAGCAAGTGAACATCTTTGGGCATTCAGATCAGCACTTATGAGTCATCCAGGAGATTAGCTAAACGTTTGGTAGATAGTTCACATTTCCTTAGCCCCAAATGCACGACAAATAGTAACACACCAGAAATGTTCTCAGAGAGGTTGTGGGATTTGTATAATGTCTTTCATATTGACTCTCTGAGCTAGCTTCTTGGAAGCTTTCAACCAATAGCTATCCCCTCTGAGTTCTTGGCGGTGGCAATGAGCTTTAGGTCTGAGCTAGTGGGGTGGGGGTGGCCTGGCTTTCCTGTGACTGGTCTCGGTCTATTGGCACTTATTATTATGACTTGATGTGGGGTTACCATATATTAGGTGTGATGTTACTTTGCATAACTGCAGGAGCCAGTGTATTTCTAACCCTGCAAATGATATTTGTAACGAGTTTAGGTAATTTGTTTAAAGTCCCGCAACCGAGAAGCTCTAGAGCTGTAGATCAACCTATGCCTTCCCCCACTTCCAGACCAACTCTTAGCCACACAACTGGCTGTCAACTAGAGTCTCTTCTGGGAGGTGGTTTCTTCATCTGAGCTCTGATGAGGCTGACCAGCATGATCAATAGCATAGCTGCCAGCTCCGAAGCTTTGGAGTTTTAATCCAGCAAGTAAACAGATGTAGCAACTTACGTTTGCTACATACTTTAGCCTCAAAGTGGCTAAAACCATCTTGCAAAAAGTGATGTGGAAAACATTGCAAAGAGCCAGGCAGCTAGCGTGGAGGGGCTTGCCAAGCCAACAGCAGCTGTGAAAGCTGCTCAGAGGTTCAGCAGCCAGCAGTGGGAGTGTTTCCCCAAGAACAATAAACCGAGTGACTAAGAGCCCTGCCTAGGAGGAGCTGCCTCGGGTCTAGACCTCGGAATGTTTACTCTGGATTTCCAAGTGCTGGTGCATTCTGTAGTTTAGGCTAATTTCTAGAATACGGCCATCCAGAATCCTTAGAATGAACATACACACACACACACACACACACACACAGAGAGAGAGAGAGAGAGAGAGAGAGAGAGAGAGAGAGAGAGAGAATGAATTCATTATATTGTATATAGAGCAATATATATTATGAGTATGAATTCATTATATATATGTGTATGCATATATACACACACATACAATTTTTTTAGGTTGAAATAGCCTCCTTGAAGGATCTTTTGGGAGAGGGAAGCAGAACAGTAAGTTTAACACGTCCTTCTCCAAGCTAAAATTTGTCCTCCACTGTGTTACCAAGGGCCTTTTAACTTGCTGCAAATGCTCCATACTTAAGGTGATGAAGCCAGTGTTTATTGAGGGACACTATATAGATGGAAACAAGGTTGCTTATAGCAAAGTTGAGCTTCTTATCTCCAAGTCTTTCCTCACTCTCCCCTTCACCAGAGTAATTCGCTAGCTCTCACCAAGAGAAATCGTAACCTACCTAAGCACCAATGCTGGTAACAGGCATTAAAGCCTCTTAAGGTGAACCCAGGGAGTCCTGTTCAATATGGAATTCATTCTTTCCTGTGTAATTAAAATGTGAGCTGGCTGTGTTCATGATGAAAAGAAAAAAAGGACCCAAGCTAATAAAGGGAAGCAATAGCCACAATCAAACCCTTCGCTTGGCTCCCAGTTGATTGGCTGAAATCAACTTTCTTTACCTACTAGTTCAGTTGCCCTGTGCTGTGACACTTAGGTTCTCAAAATGTGGCCCAGGCAAGCCAGCGTGGATCTCACTGGGAAAAGGGGTAAAAGTGCACATTTTCTCATCCAGACCCAATGAAAAGGCAGAGCAGCAGGGCTCAGCATGCAGTTTATGAAAATCCTGCAGGGGATTTTCATGTGTGCTAACATTTGAGAACCGCTATTACATCAACCAGTTAGACGGCTAATAAAGCTGGGCCGTGATGGTGGCACATGCCTTTAATCCCAGCACTCAGGAGGCAGAGGCAGAGGCAGGCGGATCTCTGTGTGTTCGAGGCCAGCCTGGTCTACAAGAGCTAGTTCCAGGACAGGCTCCAAAGCTACAGAGGAACCCTGTCTCGAAAAACAAAACAAAACAGAAAACCCCAAAACAACAACATCAAAGTAGGACTAGGGACTGGGAACAGGAATGGCTCAGCATGTAAAGTACTTGCTGTGTACACATGAAGACCTGAGTTTGGATCCCAAGCCCTCATGTAAAAGCCAGGCTGTGGCAAGGCCCTGTAATCTGAATACTGAGATGGTGAGGGCAAGAGGGTCCCTAGGGCTTCAGCCAGTTTGTGAATCCAGGCTGAGTGAGACAGCCCTTCTCAAGTACGTAAAGTGATGTGCAGATCAACTGTGGAAGAAAATCCTTGTGGACCTCTGACCTCCGTTTGCATGTGTACCTACCTTTATGTAGAGGTATACAAACAGGAACACATACACATACATATACCACACACACAGGCACATACATGTGTACATGTGTGTGCTCATACATGATAACAGGCATCATCACATGGGACAAACTAAAATTTTATTCTCTAGTTATTAGCTTTCAAAGCGATCCTAATGGTTCCATTCTCTTAAAAACAAAGCAGACAAACCCTTAGAAACCTGGGTTTGGTGATGGTTTCGTTTCTTTTATTTGATTAGTATTGTTCTTTCCCCCATCCCTTTCAAACCAGTGAAGAATCTACATAAGCTGTGTTTTGTTTATTAAGTTCAGGAACTGTGTGTTTCGCTTCAGCTACCGAGTCCTCGTCGCACCTAGCGTCTCTTTTAGGTCCCATACACAAGCGCTTTGAATCCTGGATTCCATAGTGAGACAAACAGGCACTAACTTATGGCTTTCTTGGCTCTGTAACCCACAGCGTCAGGGGGGAGAAGTTAGGATGCTTGAGCTGAGGCCTGTAACTTTCCCTGCTGGCTCAGGAGAACCCTCCAGCTGCAGAAGGGCTGTATGAAGGATATGTGCGCACGCCTCTGAGACAAAGGAGTCACTACAGAAAGGAGGTTATTGAAGAGCGTATTTTTAATACTTAACCTCGTTAAAGCTCTACATTTTAGAGGAAAAGCATCAAATGCCCTGGTATAAATGTATTTAACCCACATGTCTTTACATACTCATTATTTTGTGAATCGAGTGATTCTAACACAAATATTTGAGGGTCTGAGTAAAGGGTAAATAAATTGTTAAACTGTAAGTGTGTTTAGGACCCTGGAGATTGAATGAGTACCAAACAGGGCTCGGTTTGTTTTCTACACTCACTCGGCTTTGAATTGAAAGCCCCTGTTTTGCTACCTTTCTGTGGTCACAGCGCCATCTAGAGTACATCCTGGGAACCCTTCTGGAAATCTTGGAGAACTGTTTTTCCTTAAAGTCAGAATCCTCAGCTGCAGTAGCATTTTCGAGGAGGAAACAAAGGTTCCTACTTTCTCATATTACACTAAAGCCAATTATACTAGCCTTTCTCTTCTGTTTCCTAATGATTAACCTCAGTTATGCCAAATGTCAGGATGATGGCTAAATCATAATCATATAAAATGGTTTTGCCGGAAGATATAGGCTTATGTTAATTAATTTTTTTGTTACTCATTTTTGAAATTGCATATTAATTACAGCACTTCTCACTTCCCTTTCCTCCCTTCAAGCCTCCCAAATACAAATACTGTTCCTGCTCTCCCTCAAATTCGTGGGCCTCTCTTTTCAACAGTTGTTACAGCATATATACATACGTGTGTGTGTGTGTGTGTGTGTGTGTGTGTGTGTGTGCATTCCTATATATAACCTGTTTGGTCCATATGATGTTACTCATATGTATGTTTTCAGAGCTGACCATTCCATTTGGCACTGAACAAAACCTTGGTATTCTCTTCCCTAGGGAGAGCCACCTCCCCTACTTTCCTCAATTGCCTGTAGTTCTTTGTTTAGAGTTGAGGTCTCTTGGACATTTCCCTGTCCAGTTTGACATGTCTGTCCTTGTTTAGCTCTCATTTGGGTGGTCATGCTGGTGAGACTTTATGCTCATAGCTTCTGATGTTTCTAGAAGACACAATCTCAGAGCAAACTCTAACTCTTACTATTCTTTCCCACTCTCTTCTTCAATGTTCCCCGAACTTTGGGTGAGAGAGCATTTTGTAGATGTGTCCTTGAGACTGGTCTCCACAACTCTGCGTTGTGATCGGTTGTGGTTTTCTGTGTGGTCTCGGCCTGTTACAAAAAGAAGTTTCCTTGATGTGGGGTGAAGACTACATTATCTGTGGGTGTAAGGACAACTGTTTGGATTGATTTTAAGGATGATACCATTATTTTTAAAGGCATAATTGGGTCAAGAACTCTTTTATGTCACTTTGATTACTCTAGAAGTGTTAGCTTCCCCAGAATATTGGGAAGATTAGCAAAAAGAATGAGGGAAGAATTATTTAACCCTTTCCACTATATTTTGTGTATCAATGTCAAACTTGGGTATATTTTTTGCCCAAAAAGCATGAAATTAAACTTGAATTTGATTTCTGTGGCTGGACGAAGAGATGAACACAGAACTCTAAATGCAACCATCTATTTTGGATTGGAAAATGATGGCATTTTTCTGCCAATAGGCATTTCAAGCATAAGACAGTTGCCAACAGCAGTGCTGTTTGGTGAGAAGGTAGCCATCTCTGGGGGCACCAGAATTTCTGCTTACAAATGGCCGCCACCTGATGAAGCTCTTTGTCGCAACGCTGCCTGACCTTTCCCCAACTGTGTTTTGTTTTAGCTTATCCGAGAGAAGTACCGTCATATTCATTAACAACGTCGAAAGTAGCCTACTTTAAGAGGAAATATGCAGAAGAAGAAGATTTACATCAAGGTTACCATGGGTGTTTTCCAAAAGTAAGGCTTTACTTTTCTCCTAGTGCCCCCCCCCTCTTTCCTGCCCCCCAAATGTCATTGAAAGCATGAAGCGCCAGCTTCTGTTTTTCTATGCAGAAAGTAATGGCTCTGTTTGCTCCCTAGCACCTGATATTACCCGAAGACAGGACCTGTATCCTCAAACTTTCCCTGGAGAAGCTCAGGTTTCTTGAAGACCCAGAAACCTACTTACGAAGGTCTGTGTTAATTAACAATTTGCTGAGGAAGATACACCTAGAGACGGAGAAAGAGAGCTATGAATACTTTAAGGAATCTCCCCCCTATAAGACTGCTTATTCGGATACAAGAAAACGGCTGAAGTTTATGGTACAGGAGTGCTGTTCCCAGTCTCTCTACTATGAAGAGCTGCATTCCTACCACATTGTGCCTTATACTTCGGAGAATGCCATCTACGGGATGGGCTACACTGGTGACCACTTGGAGCAAAATTCCCAGTTGCTTATTTATAAAATGAATTAAAGTAACTGTTAAGTTCATTGATATTTTGTTTCTAAATGCCTGAACTGTTTATAGTGAAGATGTTAATATAAGACACTAATTATCAGTGCACTTGATCTCAGTGATGAGATGCATGCCGAACTGAGGGGAGAGAACCATGGGTATTTCTTACCCACAATCCTTAGTGCCATCACATTGAATGGAAAATAGACCTACTTTATCATAAATCTGTGAGTCGATGCATTAGAAGAAAAAGGGTTTTAAATTGTTTTTGAGATAGGAAGGGATTGATCTCTGGTCAACCTGTGAGGTTAAAATTAAGTCACTCCCCCATCTAAATTCTACCTACTCTTATTAAACATTAGCCAAAATAAAATCATTATTAAATTGATAATGTTGTGATCCTGAGGACTAGGGGTGGAATGAATCTAATTTTATTTATACAGTGAGGGTTCCATCCTTTCAGAAATTCTATGGCTTGTCAAACACTGTGCCAAATGGTCATTTGTCATTAGTATCCTTTAACCATGAATGGCAGTTCAAGATGGGGTCAGTATATACTGAAGCTTACTTGTTCAATGTAACAACTCCACCTTCTTCTTCTTCTTCTTCTTCTTCTTCTTCTTCTTCTTCTTCTTCTTCTTCTTCTTCTTCTTCCTTCTCCTCCTCCTCCTCCTCCTTCTCCTTCTCCTTTTTCCTCTTCCTCCTCCTCCTCCTCCTCTTTCTCTTCCTCTTCCTCTTCTCCTCCTCCTCTTCCTCCTCCTCCTCCTTCTTGATTCCTCTTATTTGATCTGAACAGACTTTCTCTTTAAGAATGAAATGTAATAAATTAGCATTGCATATTGGATCATCTTTAAGTTCTACGGGTTGATTAACATTTGTGCTGGGCCTTTTAGAGTTGAAATTTTATTTATGATCTTATTTTTTTTTTAAAGGCTGTGAAGCTCAGGAAAGTGTAGGCAGGCAAAATACATTTTTAATAGGATGATAATTTTTTTAAAAACCTGCCCTGGAAAGTTGATGAGAATAATAGAATTTAGACATGTTGTTATTTCTTCATCCTGCTAAGAGCTCACAGAAGGTGCCGGGATGAAGCATTGCACTGATTTTTGTACAGCAGTCGATCACTTACCACTTAACAAAACATCTGAGAATGCTTTTGTTGGGGATGTTTAGGTGAATTCCTGTGTTTTAAAGTTCTAAGGGTGAAGAGGTAACAAGTTGGATAGATTTATGACATTGTTGGAAGTGATTCCTCGTGTTCTTGAGGTTTGAGTGAGACGTCTGACCCCTGGGTCCGAAGTTTTTGTCCTATGGAGTATTTCATTTAAAGAACTGTTGTTGACAAAAATAGATTGGGAAAACTAGGTGCCAAAGGTGTATTAAGAAAATACCAAAGACTGAATGATGAGAGTTAGGGAGACTATGATAGTGAAGCCAGCAAAGACAAGGTTCTGAACCGAGGACAGCATGGGTAGTGTGGAAATATTGTTAAGAGCTTCACAGTGACTGGTTTGCTGGTGTGCCCTCTGAGTGCTTTGTTCAGAATGATGGCAAACAGGAATACAATGCTAAATTAAGATGTCAAGCTTTTGTGACTCAAATATGGCAACTGTCAACACAACATCATCCCTAGCTGAAGTGCCGTCTTGTAACAAGGCTGGCTGCATCTTACTTTGCTTTTATTTTTGATACCACATTTGGGCCCTGTGATGAATCACAAAGGTGATTTTGTACAAAGACTATGGGCTCTCTAACTAGATTGCATTGCGTAAGACTACAAAGATCCAAGTAGATCCAAGTGTCAGGTTTATATTAATTGCTCAATCGGCATTATGAAAAGTGATTTAGAATAAGGTAGTATTTATAGTAAGAGATAAAGGCATCCAAACAAGTTAGTATGACTGGTGAGATGCCTTTGCAGCCCATATAGAAATTTCAAATTTAGTTGAAGAGCAAGATTTGGCACAAAAGTTTAATAGTTTTATTTCATTGTTTATAAAAGGACACATTGCTCAGAAAACTTCTTTCAAAAATATAGATTTATTTAAAAATGAGGCTAGTCCCAAAACTCCAAGTTTGATAGGATAATTATGTCATCATAAGTCTAAAAATAGAATCAGTTATCTGATGCTTTTTAAATTTTTTTTGAAAAAACACCTGGTACGACTTACCACAGCGCCCTTAAGAAGAGGCCAACAATGCTAACAAGTATGACATTTTATAAAGCACACGTTTAACTTGGTTAAGTATAGAAATACACGTTTGAGAATAGAAGAGAAAGGAAGAGGAAAAAAATAATGGAGAAAATGTAAATTTGTAATATTTCCTGTATGTCAGAAACCTTAAACAAAGTCAGAACTCCGGGACAAAGAACCAGTAACACATGTAAAAATCCGTTTTATTTCAAGACATCATTACCTGAGCGCTTTGATCTGCACATTCATTCGTATATAAACTGTCTTAGAAGCCAGTGGTATTTGTGATTCTACTTTTATTTAAATATGCATTAATTTAAAAACAGATTATTTGAAAATACTTTTCAGTGCAAATGATTTCCCCCAATAAACTGCTCATAGACAAGGACTTGATAAGTGTTATCTTGATTTGTCTTTTAAACTTGTATTTAAATTCTGCAGACTTGCCCAAGCTAGCCAGTGGATGGCTATGATCTTACCAGGGTCAGCTGGGGTAGAGGGAGATCCTACCCATGTCTGCTATGCTCATGACTTCTGCCTGTTCCACTGTGGATGATGCCAGCACAAGTTACAGCTCTTTTGACTCTAGGTATCCTTCCTCCGGTGACAGAAACCATCCTTAGGATAGGAAAGCTGAGATGAGAAATCTGAATCTATGTGTTGTATTGCTTATTCTTGCAGGTGCCATAAGATATTCTCGCCAAAAAGAACACACACACATGCACACATAGACACATACACAAACACACAGAGATATGCATAGATTTATGCACACAGAGGCTCACACAGGTATACATAGATTTGCGCGCGCGCGCACACACACACACACGGCAGAACGCACAGGAGAGAAGGAGACAGAGACATACAGATATTCACATACAGACACATAGACACACACACAAACATACACACACAGATATGCATACAGAGACACACAGAGAAATGTGCACACACACACACAAGGCAGAGCAGAACACGAGGACACAAAGAAAAGGAGATGAGAAAAATGAAGAAGAAAAATAAAAGAGAGGGCAAGGCAACAGTAGCAGGCAGGATCCCTAAGGGAAAGAGCACATGGTCTCATGTGAGGGATTGTTTGCTGTTTTCGTTTCCTCTTTCCTGCGTCCACTGCACATAAAGCAGCTGCTGTCTGAATGGGTTGATCGTTTTTGTCATTCAGCAGTTATGCTTAACATTAGATTCTATTCAGCGCAGAGGAGACTTGAAATATGGGATTACCACAAGATACTGCTGAAACTGGACTCTGGGCAGACCAGTGAAGGAAAAACAGAAAACAAGATGGAGGAGATGCTAAATCCCGAGGTTGTGTACAAACGTGTATGCACAAATGCAAAACCTGTTTTCCGTGCACCTCTCAAGGGTAAGCAGGTTGGTGGCAGGAGACTTGGGCAGAAGTGCAGAGCCCCTCTTAGGGTTGAACGTTGTGCCAGAGTTGGGGGGCGTGACCCGAGTGATACCCAGTCACTTGGCTCAGCTTCCCCTAAGAGAACTGAGATAATTTGGCACTTGCCTTTTCTTTTCCAAACTGTAATGGTCCTCCAGCATCCTTCTCCAGTTGTGTTTGCAGGAGACAAGATGCACAGGGGAGAGGGAGTGGAACTGATGCAGAGCAGGACATCAAAGGGATGCAGACACTGTACTTCGCCATGTCTCATTTTCTGCTGGGAAGCCTAGGATGCCTCCATTGCCTGGGGTGATGAGGCTGGTCTGCACTCACCTCCGAATGTCTCCTTGGGAGATGGTGTGGAAACAAATTCAATGACATAACAGTCTGTCCATCTCTCTAGTTCCTTTTGCTCTTTTACAGGGTGAACCAGGTTAATATTCATGTTGAGGTAGTCAAAAAGGAAAGTCACAGTGGGTAGTCTACAGCCAGGAAGCTGCAGTCTGGCATGAGGAAGGCCAGAGAGACAGCCTTTGCTCATGTGTTCTTTGTTATGAATGGAGCTGGGAAATACCTTTGTTATGAATGGAGCTGGGAAATACCTGCTACTGAAGCCATCTTCTCACTGTCCCACGAGCTGCCTCTCTGATCCGCAGCTGTGTCCCTGGTTCCCAGTCTCCTTCCATCCATTCTCACACAGACACTGATCTGCCCAGAGATACTCATAGGAGGATAACAGCTTAAAATTCTGGCCAAATTCCTTTGAGAAAGGGCTCCAGAGTTTATCAACCTGGAATCTGTTCACAGTAATGTTATTGGTTGGACACATTTTTCTTTTTAAATGACCATCTTGGTCACTGAGTATTTGTGAGTTAAGGTAGTATACCTGTTTCCAGAATTCAGTGTAGCAATCATGTTTTGCTAAGAAAATTCCTGTGTTGTAAACAAAGATTGTATATAATTAATTCAAGTACTTTATGTAATGTATGTCGACTTAACTTACATATTGCTATTCTTAAACTTTACTACTATACATTAGCAACATGACAAGTGTCATTTTTTATTTTTAAAGTGAATCATGTCTAAAAATTGATCTATTCCTGGTTGAAATTTTGGGGCAAAATTTCCACATGAAGACAATTCTGTCTTTCCTCAAGGCTTATGTTATATCGTTGGCTGACTTAAGAACATTCCTCTACATTGGCACTTCCCACATTCCATTCCCCAGTGGTCTTCTTTATAATGCATACTCTTCTTTGTAGGTCTTTAATGGGACCCAAGTCTTCATTTTTGAATATTCTCAGTGAACGCACTTTTGAGCAGGAAGATTACTTGTAATTTCAGGATGAGAACACAAATGCAGCCTACATGCGAATGTCCCTGCCAGCTTTCCATAGCAAGCTTTTTCCTTTCAAGAAATACAAAAGTGGGTGTGCCATCACACATCTGCAACTCCAGCACCTGGAAGGTAGAGGCAAGAGTGTCAGGAGCTCCAGGTCTTCCTCAGCTCTGCAGTGAGCTTGAGATCAGCCTGGGCTACATGTGATAACCCTGTCTCAAGCAAAACTAAGTATCACAGAGCCATGAAACTCTGTGCTCAAAATAGTCACAAATATAAAACAACATGGGAATTGATTTCTGTTAGAAAATTGGATCCAAACCAAGCATATGTGAGGACCAAACCTAGAGTTCTGTCCCCTAATCAGTCAGGGGAATGTCTTCTCTTGGTCACCCTGAATCTAAGGGAGCTCCACTTGGCAACACTGGGGAAAGTATAAACTCCTCCAGAGTTAACAAGAATTTGACAATCTCTTGCTTGGTTAAATCTGTCGCTATAGTACAAAATACTCTATAAATCTGGGGTTGCTGAGATGGAGAGAAGCGCATAGAAATGACCCTGGGTTGTTCCCTTCACCCCTTGTTTTGAACTCTGAGTTCTCTTCCATACAAGAGTCTGCCCCTGCCAGGGACTCCCTGCTTCTCCTCAGGTTGGGGAGGTCACAGTAAAAGGTTGGAGCGACAGTAAATGAAGAGTTGCGTAAGTGGTCTGGTTTGAGCATGCCCCGTGTTTCCATCAGGCTCTCTTCTGGGCGTGAGCTTTGGTGTCATGGTTGTGAAACACAGTGTCGGAGTAGTCTGTTAAAGATGGGAGAGCAACAGAAGTGTGACTCCGGGGGAATGCACTCAGATGCGGGACAGATGGCCTTCTACCACATCTATCTGGGGAAATGTGTATCTGTTACCTAACCTAAAATATGTCTTTTTACATTTTAAAGATATTTGGGTCATGGTTGAAAGTTCTGATTGCATTTTTTTTAAGCTGAGAGGAAGAAGGGTAACTGTATTTTACAACGTATTTGACATGTTCCTAATAAAGTTTTATTACTGGTGAAATATGGAACCCTTTGTGAAGCAGGGGAGGTGGGGTCCTAGATGTGGCAGCTGCAGAATGTCTCTGAATCACAGAAGTCTCATTTTGAAGACCGGTGGTTCTAGTTTTCTTTGCAGTGCTTTCAATGCAGCATTCATGGGTTGAAAGACGCACCATCTCACAGAGCATTTTCTGTGACAGCTGACCCCGAAATGTCAGGTAGCAGAAATCATTAACTGTAAGACATGACAGTCTATGGATTTGAGCATCAAGGATGGTTGCTTTCTCTCTGGCGAACTCAACTGGTGTGCCCACTGTTTCTTAGTGGTAGATTTACTGGGAGAAATAGGTGTGTAGAATACATCAGAGAGACACATTCTTTCTCTGCCGTTTGTTACTGGCATTGCAAACAAATGACAGCCAAGTGCCCTGTCAGCCATGGATGGGTGTGGCACACAAACAGCCAGGGTAAGATGTTTGCAAGCATCCAGTCAGACAACTTCTTAAGACTATAGTTTCTTTAGGAACTCAAGAATATCTAACCATAGAAATGACAGGGATCTCGGAAGTGTTCAGACACGAGACAGTGAGTGTATCGCCACTGCTAATTCTTCATCATGGGGTAGGTCCTCTATAGTTTTCCATGTGTTCCACACACAGTGATGTCTCCCTAACTATTCCCTTGCCTGAAAGCAACTTTTGTCATCACCCCGTGGATGTGATGATTAGAAACATTTGCCCACGGTGCTGTGTAAACATAAGCATCACAAGATCACTGCACCAAATGAAGATAGAGAAACATTGTTACTAAGGCACAGAGTCAGTCACTTGGGCCAATTCCTGCCATAGTACTTTGATAGTCCATAAGGAAGGCAGATAGAGAGGCTTAATCTGCTGCCTCATAGTCCCCATTTTATCCGTTGGTATATAAGATACTTGGTGATTATTTGATTATCAAACTGAAATGATGTCACCCTCCTTTGGCCCCTTTCTGGAAAGACTTCCTCCAGGGTGCTTCAGGACACTTCTAAGCACTAGCCAGATGCACATGCCAGATGGTTGACATCACTCCCGGAGTTGGCCTGTGGCTCATTTGTCAATACAGCATCACCATGGGCATCTGGGGAAAGACACTACTTGTGGTCCCTGTGAAAAGGGAAACTGTATCCTGGCAGCGGGCCTTTGTTCTTATTGCCCTATTTTTATAAGACCTTCCTTTGCATGTCAAACTCTCCAAGGATATTTTCTTTCTTTTTTTTTTTTTTTGGATTCCTTCTTCTGTAGTCTTTATTCTATGCTCTATATCCTCTTTTCTTTTTTTAAAAATTTATTTATTAAAGATATTTGCCTCCTCCCCGCCACCGCCTCCCATTTCCCTCCCCGTCCCCCGATCAAGTCCCCCTCCCTCATCAGCTCGAAGGATATTTTCTGCATTGATAGTAAATAATTAAGGGACTTAAATAAACCATCAACTGCTGTCTCTGTTTGCCTTTCAAGGTGAGGGGCAACTATCGAAACTCTCTGCTTGATGTCATCCACAGGCCATTAGGATCTGGAAGACATTCTAAAGCTTTAAGCGGTTCTCTGTCTCTGGTCTGGACGCTGCATCCTT